AGGCTAGAGGGGACCAGTAGATCATCTAGTCTGACCTCTTGGATATCACAGGACACCACCACCATCCAGCAACCGCACACTAAACCCAGCAACTGAAATGAAACCAAAATATTAAAGCCCTCAGGAGACTAGACTCTGCTGTGCCCCAGGCAGAAAATAGGAGGAACCATGGTGCATCAGTGCTTGAGGTTCCTGCAATGGCAGGGAAATGATTAAATGAGACACCCAGATAATCCTGGCAAGTGACCCACATCCACATGCTGCAGAGGAAGGCGGCAAAACAAACAAACCCAATGTCACTGCCAATCAGACCTGGGGGGAAATCCTTCCTGACCTCATATATCGGGATCAGTTGGTCCCTCAGTATGTGAGCAAGAACCAGCCATCCAAGCACCGAACAAATGTGCTCGATGCCACTTCAGAGTTCTGGCCCGTGCCATGCAATATTTCTTCTCCAGTTGTAGCCGTCCCTGATTCTTCACATGAAGGAGATTTTAAAAAACCCAAAACAAAACACTGCCAGAATAGAGTGGGTGGCGGTGAGGGAAATCCCTTCCTGACCCCTGTCAGTGGCTGGCTGAAACCCTGAAGCATGAGCGTTAGGAACATAGACATAAATTGGAAATGAGCCCCAGGATTGTTGAACCATTCCTCCTACCATCACAGGCAACCCAGTCATACAATCTCACACAATTTGTACAGCGTGCTCTCAAAACCAGTTAAGTTGTTTGCCCCCTCAACTCCTATTAGGAAGCTGTTCAAGAATAACAGCCTTCTGAAGGTTAGAAACCTCCTAATTTCCAGCCTGAACTTGTTCATGGTCATTTTATATCCATTTGTTCTTGTGCCAACATTGTTGTCTAGCTTAAATAGCTCTTCACCATCCCTGAAATTATCCCCAATGTATTTATAGAGAGCAAACATATCGCCCCTTGGCCTTTTTTGCTAGACTAAACAAGCTAAGCTCTTACAGTCTCTTCTCATAAGACAGAGCCTCCATTCCTCTGATCATCCCAGTAGCTCTTGTCTGCACCTATTCTAGTTTAAATGAATCTTGAACATGGGTGACCAGAATTGTACACAGCATTCCAAATAAGGTCTTACCACTGCCTTGTCCAATGGCATTAATGCTTCTTTATTTGTATTGGAAATGCCTCGCTAATACATCCTAGGATTGTATTTGTCTTTTTCATAGCTGTATCACACTGGTAGCTCATAGTCCTCCTCAGATCAACCCCTACACCCAGATCTATCTCCTCTGTTGCTTCCAGCTATACTGTCTCTGCTCCTCCATGGAGCTGCTGCTGGCCACAGCTGCTCAGAACCACAAACCTCCTTATCAGCACAGAGCCATGTAGGGGCTGATGGGGTGTCCCTCCCCCTCCCATCATGTGCCCAGGTGAGCAGAGCATGCCCCTTGTCCCAGCTCCTGCTCCTCTGAGAGTGTCCAGGGGACAGGTTAGGACAAGGCTTTGTGGCTGCTGGCCAAAACCTTTTTAAAAAAGACTATGTATCTGGCTGAAAATAGTTCGTAGGCAAAGATTCCTGTGCAGTGTTTGAAACCCAAACATTGGAGCACTAGAACCCTGAAAGTGAAATGAGTTTTAAAGTAGTAGAATGGATTTTTTTTTCATTGTCTACGCTTAGAGAAATGCAGAAAGTAAAGCACATAAGTAGTTACCAACTACATTACATTTCTTTAAATTCTTTCATTTGTAATCAGTGTTGTCATTATCTGGCTAGTCGGGCTACTTGTGGGCTAGTTTTTAAGTGGCTTTAAGCTATTAATCCAGTAGGAATCTGGCAACCTGAAGTCCATTCACAAAACATTATGCGCTAGTTGGGCCTTTGCTGCCGATGCGGGGTCTACAGTTCTTCAAGTATCTTCTCTGACTTCATATTTGCACCTCCTCTCTGGTCTGAATACTATTTCTCTGCTGCCCATGTATGGAATACACATAGAGACTAGCACTCGAAGAAGAAATGGAAGTTCCTTACATCTAATTAAAAGCTCTTCGAGTTGTGTGGTGCCTATCTGTATTCTGCTCCTCCTTCCTCTCTGCTTTGGATCTTATTGGATTTGCAATAAGAGGTATTCTTAAATATAGGTACAATGTTAACTACTCTCTAGTCTGATCTCTCCAGCCCTGAATAGATCATCATCATCATCACTCCCATAACCACATTGGTCGTTGGGGCAATCAACCAATTGTCTCCACCCCTGACGATTGTGTGTCAGTGCTCGAGTCTCTGCAAAGTCCATTCCTGTCCACTCTTTTGTCAGTCCATCTCTTCTTCTGTCTACCTCTTCTTCTCTTCCCCTGTACTGTCCCTTGGGGGATGAACTTGGATAGGCCTGATGAGTTGTTACATGGCCGTACCACTTCAGCTTGCGCTTCTTCACGGTTGTCAGGAGGTCTTCATGTGACCCAGTGCATTGGGTGATGATGTTGTGGACCTCTTCGTTAGTGACCGTCGAAGTAGGAGAAGTCCAGGATTTTACGGAAGTATTTCATCTCTACTACCTGTATTTTCTGTTCAAGTTCTGCCGTAAGGGTCCATGTGTCTCACGCATACAGAAAAATTGAGATGACCAGTGCGTGTAGCAGTTTCAGTTTGGATCTCAGGGAGATGTTCTTATTCCTCCAAATTGGCTTTAGCTTCGCCGCTGCTGCTGCTGTTTGTGCAGTTCTTGCCAGAATTTCTGCCTGTGACGATTGCCCCCAAGTACTTGAACTGTTTCAATGTCTCCAGCTCTTGTCCACTGACAGTGATATGTGAGCTGATCCCGTCACATTTGTTTGTGTTCAGCTTGGTTTTCTCTGCAATGATTTCCATGCCATATTTTGCAGAGGTTTCATCCAATCATTTCACAAGGTTGGCACATCCTCGCTGCCTACCAGGCCATCAATGTCATCAGCAAACCGAAAATTTGAGATTGTTCACGCCCCCCAATGCTGACTGATATCCTGAATAGATAGACTTAGTAAAAACCTTGTTACTGGGCTAGGAATCTCATGTGCCAATTCATTCAGTATTCTGGGACGGAATTTATCCCCCCTCCACCCTATTTCAGTGCATTAAACTAAGTTTTTTCTTTAGTGTCAGATGTAGTAATTTCCATTTCTCTTCTTGGCTTCTGGTGGCAATATGATGGGATAATGTTTCCAACTAGCTTCCCTAAAATATGGGAAATAAAACTTTTTGGATAATGCTGAATCAAGGAAAGGTTCTAAGATCAATGTTTCTTACTGAAGTTCCAGAGGCTTTTTACTCTTGAAATTGAGTGAATAGCGTGTATAATATGTACTCTATAGTCTCTCTATATACTCTATATTCAAAACTTAAGCTGTTGGGATTTGCTGAAGTCACATTGTATTTTTTCCTTAGTAGATGGAAGCAATTTGAAGGCAGGCTTGAAGAAGCCTCTCAGTGGTTGATTGAAGAAGTGGGAGCAATTTGGGGAGAGGTAGCAGATAAAACAGCATGAACAAACTTTCTGCCTTTTCATTTTTGGGCTATCAAGGTCTTGTACAGTTAATTCCCAGAACAATTAGGCTGCTGTAAGATTTATTGGCTGGATACAAAGTAGATTGATTTTTTTTTAATTCATCAAATTCCCAGATAATATGTAGTTCTAATTATGGAAAAAGTCGCCTTTTCTGGAGCATTTCATTCCCTTGGTCAGTGTTCTGGCCAAGGTATTTAGGGGACACTGCCTTCAGATGTGTCGAGCATACCCTATTCCATCTAAAATATACCACTTCTGGTGTTACTCCTGAGGGAATTCTGCGCCACTGCATGCGTGCAGAATTCACGTCCCTCCACAGATTTCTTTGCTTCCCCGCAGAAAATGATGGGGAGGCAAAGTGAAGCTGCAAGAGTGGTCACATGCCCCATCCCCAGCAGCAGCAGGCACTTTGTTTCCAGCACCTGGAACAGTCAGTAGAGAGATCAATCACTGTGTATGTGCCTGGGGATGCGTGGGGGCATGTGGGTCATGTGCCACTGCCTCCCCTCACCCCACCCCATTCAGGTGAGCACAGCTCGCTGACTCTGCCTGGATCCTAATGCTGGTCATCTTCCCCATTGTGCTGGATGCCCTGTTTTCTGTACAATGGTGAGTGCCCGGACATCCCCTCAGCAGCAACTGGGGCTCTCCTGTTAAGCAGGCCCACTGGAGCCCCAGCCCACTGAGCCCCAAACAGCTGCACCTGGACTCGCCAAGCCTTACTATCCCAGCACCTGGACCACCCCCCTGAAACCCGCATATGACCCCCGCTGAGCTCCAACCACCTTCACCTGGACCCCCCTGCAGAGTCCTATTGCCCCTGCACCCAGAACCCTCCAATGAGCCCCTGTGCATTCAGATCCCTCACTGAGCTGCCCGCATCCAGATTGCCCCACACCTGGATGCCCCCCACTAAGCTCCTCCACACTTGGATCCTGCGGGGCTGAGTCTGCCTGCCCACCCCTGGTGTTCCTGGCACAGAGGGGCAGGGCTCCTGGGTATTTCTGGAGCAGGCCCGGCCCTTGGGCTGTGTCAGGTGTCGGGTGCAGCCTCACCACTGAGTCCCTGTCCTGGGGAGTATGGGGGCTGCAAGATGATCTCTGACCTCCGTGCAGCCAGTGGTCTATACTCCCTACTGTCATGCTGGAGCATCCACATTTATTTATTGACAAATAAAATTTGCAGCATTTTGCTGAATTTTAAAATATTGTGTGCAGAATTATTTTTTTGGCACAACTCCTTCAGGAATATGGTGTGAATAATAACAAGCTAGTTTCAACTTTCTGCAAGTATACATGCATGTAAAATTAACTGCTCATGATCTACATGGAAGAGAACACAAACTGGACATGATTATGGCTGAATTAATTTTAAATTAAACAGATATTTAACAGATATTTTATTAGCCCGACTCTGATGGCTATCAGATTGACTGACTGAATGTAACTTACTGATTTAATTGCACGGAATAAAAAAAGAGTAAATTCTGAACATGTAACACATTTTACAGGTTATCAATGTTGCATTGGCTCTTGCTGCGAAACCACAAAGTAAACTAGCGCAAGAAAACATGGATCTCTTCAAAGAACTATGGGAAAAGCAAGTCCGTGTATTGACAGATGCTGTAGATGACATCACTTCCATCGATGACTTCCTGGCTGTTTCAGGTAGCAATACGGTTCCCTACTTGCAAAGAGGCAATCAGCTGTATACTGAGACTTATCTCAGGAAATCAGCAGTTGTTCCAATATTCCAGAAGTTATTTTTCTCCACCTTTTTGGAGAAGAATGATCACAGTGCAGCTGTGATATATCTGAGCAACTATGCATGCAAGTTCAGCGGTGTAAGGTGTGAAAATGTGAAGTGTGGGCTATTGATGCAAGTAGAACAAGGCATGGTTGAGTTATAAAATATGAAGCAGATTAACTTCAATGGGTACCATATCATGTGTAAATATATTTTTTCTGATATATAATTTGGCAGATACAGGAATTCATCAGTGGTAAAAGATGTTTAATGTTTGTAAATTATATATATTGTAATTGGTATGCACATTAGAGATGCTAAAATGGTTATGTGGGATTGCTCCATGATCCAGTCTCCTAATCTTTACTGTCGTTCAGAGACTTGGCTTGGACACACATTATCATCACTTTAGCCCCTAAAGACTCACCTGTGCATGAACAGATAAAAGAAATAGAAAATAAATATTAAGTGCAAATTAGCTATGAACTAACAAAAAATAAATCCATTTAATTTGCCTCATAAAAGTTGTTCTCAGTGTGTAAACACAAACTAATAGGTGCAGTAAATGACACTCACATAAGAAAATGTTTGTCAAAATGAAAATTCTGTATCTAATTACAATAAATTGGAATTTTCTTTTGAAAGAGTTTGGTAAATGTATTCCTTATTTACCAGATGTCTCATACTTGCTGAGGCATTTGTCTACAATAATGAAACTAAAATCCATAATTCACCAGTGCAGCTCCACCAGCAGTTACAATATAGACATAATGCAGGCATTTTTACCTCCATGTAAACACCTGAGTCCTGACGACTATAGTTTGCTGCTACCGGTGGAGAATTAGGGATCCAATTTTCCTTGTACAAACAGACTGAACATCTCAAATGCTGTGAAAGTACCAGTATTCAAAAGATGTTCATGGAGGTAAGTTATGTAGGAACTGTAGGAGAGAACTTGAAGCTCTAATTTAAAAAGGAGTTTACAATAAATGTTTGCATTCTGACATCCTATACTTTTAATACCAACTTTGTCTTTGGGATGAGCTCATAGTTGCTTGCAAGGCAGTTGAATACCATGGGGCTCTACATCTTACATCTCCATGGTTGTTACAGTATTGGTAGTTGAAATTGCACAGGAATAGAGGAGCATAGTTCTGGGTAAGGATACTTGTTTTTAGAATAAGTAATTGATGGTCTCATGTTTATGGCCTGTTTGGAATGTGCCAGTGAATATAAACAAATTATAAAAATTGTCAGGGCTGTGCAACATCCTTCTTTATAAGGCCTCCCAGCATGTTTCAATTGTAGATGTGCTTGGAAAAGTTTTCAAACTGCCAAAACAGTTGACTATGACCTATTCCCTCCCAACATCTCACCCCAAGAGAGACACTGGTATTAAACTATAGGAGAAGCAGACTATATTGTTAGACCACTACGTTTAATTATTCTGAAAGATTTCAGGGTCTTTGCTGATCTTGGTGAGTCACTAGTAGGGTGACCAGACAGCAAGTGTGAAAAATCGAGACCGGGGCTGGGAGGTAATAGGAACCTATATAAGAAAAAGCCCCAAATATCGGGACTGTCCCTATAAAATCAGGACATCTGTTCACCCTAGTCACTAGAAATATTAAGTACCTTTCTCAGGAGCAGTGACTGTCTGAATAAAGAGAAACAGATTACCTCAAATATGCTCTTAGCACAGAATGTCTTTGAAATACTGGAACTTGAGGGCATTGGAGATGATTGAGAGCATTCAGCAAATGGACCTTGTATTTGTATTCAATGAATTCTTAAGGAGATAGATTTGATTTGCAGCAAAGTGATAAGACTTTAAATTTGATTTTAACTTTTACAAACTTTCCGTATAAAAGCAATTTACTTTATCTGTTTACCCTTTCTAGCTTACATACTAGCTAACATTTCAAACCTTTTTGGATAAATTAGTGATGGGTATAGTTTATTTGGGGTCATTAAATCATTACACAAAGTCTTCTGGTAATAGACATAAACTGAATGTAAAAGGACTGTTATACAGTGTATCTTGCAGGGCAGTTAATTGTTCTGCTCAGTGTGAAGCTGGCGCACTAAATAGGAGATTGACAAGTGTTCATTTCAGGTAGCAAAAGTGTGGGTCACAGAAACAAGTGTATACTTAACTCACCAATACTCCCAAGTACTTTATTTGCAGACGACTAATTTTGTTTCTACTATGCTATGTTCTTATCCAACTGGAGAATAAGTAGCAGCTCAAGATTATCTTGGCTATCAATACCAACCCATGCCTGGGAGCACCCTCTGCATCGGGGTTCCACTTGGCACCTTGCATTTCTGTAACTGTTGTAAAAGTGGTTACAGGGCAATGAAGTCATCAGCCCATTATGTCCACATCATTCACTTAGTTCACTAAGGTTAATGTCACCATAGAGACTTTAAGTGGTGTCTGGCATAATTTTATTCATTGAGAAACTCTGAGCAATAAACAGTGTAGGTTTTGTTCCGATATTGCAGCTTTATCTACTGTTTTCACTTCCATTCTCTCTGTCTCTACTTCTTTAAATATTTGTATTACATATTCTCTTTGCTGGCTCTCCTGTACCTCATATCCGTTCACTGAATTTTCAAATTACTAATGAACACACTTTCCACTCTTACAGCCAAATTCTGCCCTCAGCTGAACTTGTGCAACCCCAGTTGCTTGTGAAATACCCAAGTATAAGTGAGGCAGAATTTTGCTCATGGTGCTTCAAGAATCTCTTGAAATGTGATACCTGGCCTTGCTAATCTTATATAAGCTTAATTATTGTTCTAGTGCCTCTACTTGAAAAATGTAGACAGCTGCACCGCTGTAGCACTTCAGTTGTAGGCATTGTCTATGCTGACAGGAGGGGTAGGTAATTGGTTTAAGTAATCCACCTCCCCGAGAGGTGGTAGGTAGCTAGGTCAATGGAAGAGTTACAAAGGGATCTCTCAAACTGGGTGACTGGGCAACAAAATGACTACATTTATCAACGCTGAATTTCAAAGTAATGCACATTGGAAAACCTAATCCCAACTATGCATAGAAAATAATGGGTTCTAAATTAGCTATTACCACTCAAGAAAGAGATCTTGGAGTCATTTGAATAGTTCTCTGAAAACATCCACTGAATGTGCAGCGACAGTCAAAAAAGGAAACAATGTTAGGAACCATTAGGAAGAGGATAGATAATAAGATAGAAAATATCATAGTGCCACTCTATAAATCTAAGTATGCCCACACCTTGAATACTGTGTGCAGTTCTAATCGCCCCAACTAAAAATATATATATAATGGAATTAGAAAAAGTACAGAGAGGCAACAAAAATGATTGGGGATCTGAAACAACTTCCATAGAAAGACTGATTGTTCATCTTGGGGAGGGAAAAAGACAACTAAGGGGGAATAAGGAAATTTACCCTTATAACAGAAGAACCAAGGACCACCCAATGAAATTAATAGGCAGTCGGTTTAAAACAAACAAAAAGCAGTACTTCTTCACACAACGCATAGTCACCCTGTAGAACTAGTTGCCAGGAGACGTTGTGAAGGCTAAGTCTATAACTGGGTTCAAAAAAAGAACAAGATAAGTTCCTGGAGGGTAGGTCCATCAGTGGCTGTTAGCCAAGATGGTCAGGGATACAACCCCAAGCTCTGGGTGTCCCTAGCCTCTGATTGACAGAAGCTGGGACTGGATGACAAGGGATGGATCACTTGATAAATTGCTCTGTTCTGTTCATTCCCTCTGAAGCTTCTGGCATCGACTACAGTTGAAAGACAGGATACTGGGCTAGATGGACCATTGGTCTCACCAAGAGTGAACTGTTCTTATGTCTAAGCCGATCTAACCCCCGATGTAACTTTTTAGTGTAGACCAGGCCCAAGACTCTTCCACTAGCTTACACAAATCTTTTACCAGTTAACTCAATATCCTTTTCACCTTTGTTAGTCTTTCAAAATGGCTGTTTCACGATCTGTGTTAGGAATGAAAGAACTCTGCAGGTGTGAGTTGGCAATCTAAAATGATTAGAACAGTGGTAGGAAACATTTGAATCTATAAAAAGCAACAGGGCAGAAATGCCTTACTAGTACGGTGTTTCAGAGCTAGATATTTTTCTGGCTAGCAGCACAATGTTCAAATGTTAATGTTAGGTAAAAATGGCACAAATGTACAAAAGTGGTATCTAACAATATCAGAACATCAGAGCTAAGACTCTCAGAGCTGGATATCCAAATTTTAGGCAGTTTTGAAAATCTCAGCCTAGGCTTTTATAATTTACCCCTGGAGGAATTCTAACCCCTGTTAAGTGGGTCCATCGATCCCCCTGTACCTGAACCCCAACCCCACCAAACCCCAACCAGCTGCACATGGACCCCACCTCACCAAGCCTCACTTCCCCCTCACCCAGACTTCACTGCTGAGTCACTGTCTGGGGGGAGGAGGGGAGACAGGAAGGGCTGCAGGGTGATCTCCCACCTCCGTGCAGCCAGTGTCCTGTGCTTCCCATTGCGACCTCGGAACCTACACATTTATTGACAAATAAAATTTATTTTATGTTTAACACAGTACTGTACTGTATTTGCTCTTTTTTTGTCTCTGCTGCTGCCTGATTGTGTACTTCTGGTTCCAAATGAGGTGTGTGGTTGACTGGTCAGTTCATAACTCTGGTATGCATAACTCTGAGGTTTTTGTTGAAAGAATGAAGGAGCCTGAAAGTGAGATCTTCCAGATACTGTTCCATTTGATTGCCTAATTCCAAAATAGGATGGGGATTAATCATTTGATGATCTTGTGAAGTAAAATTGTGATTTGTATTTCTAGACTTGTATAGCAGGATTGTCCAAAGCTATTTACGTATACTAGAAATGCCTCATCCTGTTAAGAGATGTTGATCCTGTTAGAAAATTAAAAGGCTTGGATGAGTCAGAGGCAAGGTGTCTCATTATCCCATCCACGTACAAGGCAAGTGGAGAAGATGTGGACTAGTGCAGTCCAGAGGAAGGAATCTCAGAGCAGACAAGGCTGGGTAGACATGAGCTGAATTCTCAACTCTTGTGTTAATAGAACCAAGGCCTAGGATTGGGATAAATTTGGATTCCACATAGTATGTGAACTAGGATTTTGACAACCAGTTTGGAGAGGCATCTGCCCGCTGATTGCAACAAACTTGTTTTAAAATATAGTTAATGCGTCAGAAAGTGTGGTTGGAGCTTATTTTAAAGAGAAGGTATTGAAGCTTCATGTGCTGAAAAACTGTATTTTTGGGAGGTGTTAGACAGACAGACAGAAAAACGTTCATGTCTAAATATTTCTTCTTTTGCCATCAGAGAATCATATTTTAGAAGATGTAAACAAATGTGTGATTGCTCTCCAAGAAAAAGATGTTGATGGTTTAGACCGAACAGCTGGTGCAATTCGTGGACGTGCAGCTAGAGTCATTCATGTTGTAACTTCCGAAATGGATAACTATGAACCTGGAGTCTACACAGAAAAGGTGCTGGAAGCAACAAAGTTGTTGTCCAATACAGGTAGGAATAAACACAGTGCTCAATACTGATGTATGGATTCAAACTGCATACAACTACAAAGGCAAATGGATACAAACATATTAGTGCAACTTACAAGAATAAGGGTTCAATTTCATAAAACCTGTCTGTGCAGAATTTCTATTCAAAGTAGGGCCATCAATTAGTCGAGGTTAACTCATGCGATTAATCACACTGTTAAACAATAGAATACCAATTTAAATTTATTAAATATTTTTGGATGTTTTTCTACATTTTCAAATATAGTGATTTGTATTACAACATAGAATACAAAGTGTACAGTGCTCACTATATTATTTTTATTACAAATATCTGCACTTTAAACATGATAAAAGAAATGGTATTTTTTCAATTCACCTCAGACAAGTATTATAGTGCAATCTCTTCTTCATGAAAATGCAACTTACAAATGTAGATTTTTTTTGGTTATATAACTGCTCTCAAAAACAAAACAATGTAAAACTTTAGCGCCTACAAGTCCACTTAGTCCTACTTCTTGTTCAGCCAATCACTAAGACAAACAAGTTTGTTTACATTTACAGGAGATGCTGCTGCTTGCTTCTTATTTACAATGTCACCTGAAAGTGAGAACAGGTGTTCGCATGGCGCTTTTGTAGCTGGCGTTGCAAGGTATTTATGTGCCAGATATGCTAAATATTCATATGCCCCTTCATGCTTCGGCCGGCATTCCAGAGGATATGCTTCCACGCTGATGATGCTCGTTAAAAAATAATGCTTTAATTAAATTTCTGACTGATCTCCTTGGGGGAGAACTGTGTGTCTTCGGCTCTGTTTTACCTGCATTCTGCCATATATTTCATGTTATAGCAATCTTGGATGATGACCCAGCACATATTTGTTTTAAGAACACTTTCACAGCAGATTTGACAAAACGCAAAGATACCAATGTGAGATTTCTAAAAATAGCTACAACTCTTGACCCCAAGGTTTAAGAATCAGAAGTGCCTTCCAAAATCTGAGAGGGACAAGGTGTAACACATACTTTCAGAAGTCTTAAAAGAGCAACACTCAGATACGGAAACTACAAAACCCAAACCACCAAAAAAGAAAATCAACCTTTTGCTGGTGACATCTGACTCAGATGATGAAAATGAACATGCATCGGTTTGCTCTGCTTTGGATTGTTATCGAGCAGAACCCATTATCAGCATGGACGCACGTCCTATGGAATGGTAGTTGAAGATGAACAGATATATGAATCTTTAGCTCATCTGGCATGTAAACACCTTGTGACGCCGGCTACAACAGTGCCAGGCAAACTTGTTCTCACTTTCAGGTGACGTAAACAAGAAGTGGGCAGCATTATCTCCTGCAAATTGTAACCAAGTTTGTTTGAGCGATTGGCTGGAGTAGGACTAGAGCCTACAAGTCCAGTCAAAGTTTTACATTTGTTTTATTTTTAGTGCAGTTATTTTTTGTACATAATTCTACATTTGTAAGTTCAACTTTCATGATAAAGAGATTGCACTACAGTACTTGTATGAGGTGAATTGAAAAATACTATTTCTTTTGTTTTTTACAGTGCAAGTAATTGTAATCAAGAATAAATATAATATAATTGTTGTAGAAAAATATATGCCGTGTTTATGCCACTTCTGAATTTGGGCTTATGATATGGACTTGTAGGGTCCAGTGACTTGCATCACTCCATACTTCTTCACAGAATGATGCTCCAGAATTTGAGCTTGTATGTCTTTAAAATTGCAATCATGAGAGCTAAAAACAAAACAAAAAACAAAGAGGGCACTGAAAAAAAACAGATGGAAACCAATCCAATGTTCTATTCCTGAGTCCATATAGAGTCTGAAACAAAAGCTATTGAAGGTTAGGAATGCCCTTCATTTCAGTAGAGTATTAAACTGTCATTTTTAGGTTTAGTTTTAAATTAGCTCTTAAATATTTAGCAAATACTTCCTTCTTATCCCACAATCCCCAACTGCCTCCCATACCACCCAGGTGTAGTACTATAAATCTCCTGGTTTTTCCCCCAACATCCTCTGCCATGCAGATGTGGCGCATATTTGAAACTAAAAATGTGGTGACATCATAAAGTAAACTGCAATTAATATCAAAAGAAAGCCTGAGCTATTAACTGATTATTGTTAGCTTTTCTATCTTTAATAACCTCAGTTTTTAAAATTAACTGAAGCTGCTGCAGAATTTCTAGTGTCAACCTGAGTACCACAGAACTTGCCCATCTTTCATTAGAGTACATTGGGGCCAGGGGGAGTAGGGGCAACATTGCTGAATGTGCTTGACTTATTTGTTTTCTTAATTCAGTTATGCCCCGTTTTACTGAGCAAGTGGAAGCTGCTGTGGAAGCACTTAGTTCTGACCCTGCTCAGCCAATGGATGAAAACGAATTTATTGATGCTTCACGATTGGTGTATGATGGAATTCGGGATATCAGAAAAGCTGTATTGATGATTAGAGTGAGTGACTTTGTATTTAACTTATTTTTACAGCATTCTACTTTCATTTACTTTACTCAGCATTTATTGAACTTAAGAAAATATATCGTTCCTACACAGAGTGGAGAGTATAAGATTTTTTCCCTGACAACTTATTAAAATTATGAATCTAAAAGCTGTTAATCACTTTATAGAGGACTTCAAAATGTCTGCTGTATGTATGTTTTATCTTAAAATGCAAACTTCACCAAATAGGTCTGTGCATCACTGATGATTAGAGCTGAAGTGCTAAACATCCTTAATGATGCATCTATTCATAATGCAATACTTACGCATATGCTAAAACTAGTGACCCTTGGTTTAGACAATAGAAAATTAACTCTTGCTATGTTTGACTTTATTTTTTTATTTAAGGAAAAGAGACGTCCAATTTAATTTCTCAAATCTTAAGTAAACTTCACAAAAATTTCATACCAGTTTCTTGAAGATGAGGTTAGGTGATCTGGGTATTGAAACTCGCCTTGTTCTTAGAGAACCTGAGAAACCAGGCAGCATAGATAAATGGGGGCTAGCTTGTTAGAATTTCATTTCCATTTCTGTGCTTGCAATTTGCAAATGCAATTAATTAAACTTGGATGTCTCCCTACCTGATAAGGAAGCAGTCATCTAAATGGTATTACTTGAAGGAGCAAAAGGGCACCTGCAGTGATTTGAAGGCACAAAAAGGAAGTATCAGGCTTACATGTGGGCTCTTCAGACCTTAATATGAACCAGAGCTTAGTGATAGCAAAATGGATGTAAGGTTTTCTATCCCTCTCCCCTTCTTCCCATGCCTCAACAGTGAATGTCTCTCTACCCAAGACAATGTTTGTAAGGTTGGAAATGAGCCTTTCCTGTAGAGGTTTCATATTGTCCACTGGTTCCAAATGTCTTGGTGGTGAGTAAATTTGCAGTATGTAACCCCAGCACATCACTGACTGTAACAACCCTCATAATATTCATTTGTTACCTTTGTTTAAACTAAAACCTAAGGAGGGCAGAGAAAAAGTGAGAAACTATTGCAGGAAGCAGTTTTAAGACACTTTGATATATACCCCTTTTCCATGGAGCACCATTATTAGTTGGGATCCCGCTTCCCTCACATGCTACAAATTAATTTTATTCACCCCCTTCTATGAGTCTTGCTGCTCAGGACAAGGAGGTACAGCTGCTAATTCTATGCCTGCAGCAATCAGCAGAGCTGGCAGGACCAGGAATCCTGACATTCTCCCTCATGCTGCTCATCTGTGCTGGGGAGAAGCCACATTTATGATGTCAGGATTCCATGGCTATATTGCAACTGCCAGTAGCTAAAGGCAGTTCAGTGGTGACACATAAGTGACCTAAAAAAAGTCAAAATGTTAAAACACTCAAGTGTTTTTCTGCTGAAGGGCTTGAGTTGTACAACTTACTTAGAATAAAATAGAGCCCTCAAAACTGAGATAACAGAAGGAGCGCCATTTTTACAGGCTTTTCTGTTTCAAATTGGAATTCAGAAGCAACCCTGCTCTGAAAAGGAATGCTGCTGAGCAAAGTCAGCGCAAACAAACTATTTAAAGTTGAAACTAGGGTCTAAATGGGGAAATCTGTTGACTAATTATTCACGTATCCTTGGAGGAAAAGTCACTGAAAAGCCTAATAGGGGTTTTTTTGTTTTGTTTTAAGTAATATTTTTTTAAAGCTAAAATCTTCGTGCATGAGCAGAACCCTTTTTTCTTCTTTAAAGGTAAATACTTCCCTTCTTGAGTCCATGTTGCAAGACAAAACTACACATCAGAAACCTCTCATGTATTCACTTGGATTTGTTGTATTTAATTTGGAGTACAGGAAATCACTGAGATATTGGTGGAGAGTGGGAACATGGAGAGAAGGTTATGATCTGAAACAATAAAGCTGCACAGCTGTCATTGTCGTGTTAGTGTGCATTATCTCCACTGTTTCAATGGAAGAAGTTCATTAGTTTTGACTGACAGTATTATTCAGTGGTAACAGAATGAGATATCAAATGCTAAATGCTGTAGTTGCCTTGTACCTCAATTCCAAGACTAAAATTAACCCACAAAGGAGCTTGTGGAGGGCAAAAATGCCTTCGCTCCAATTTCTCCACTGAACTGTTAACCTATGACAACTGATGCAAGTTTTTTCAGTGCCATTGTTTTAATGTTCTCTGTCTTCATATCAGATTTGTTCCATTTTAGAGTCAAAAGATAGCCTGGGTTCTGAAAGTCGGGCTGCATTCTTTCTGGCTCAGGCTTTGATAGTAGGTTCTATTAACACATAGTTAACATTATTCCTACCTAAACTAGAAAAGAATCCAGTTAGCTGGATGATATCTGAGGCTCTAACAGGAGTAAATAATAAAAAGGTAAGTTTAAGTATTCAGAGAAGAGTGAACATACTCAGAGCAGTCCATCTAAGTGATAAGTCTTTTGTACATAGTCCTTCAGATAATAAAATGCATTTAATATTGCATCAGTATTTAGTTGTATTTTCAGGTGTTTTGGTAACCAAAAACAGTACAAACACACAAGAATATTTCCTCATTTGCTTAGAGAATAGTACCTTGCATGCCTTTACACTGATTCACATTCGTTCTCACATTCATATAGGAAAATGAAGAAATCTCTTATGTAAAGTGGGGGCTGGGAAAGGTACTAGGTTCAGTACAAGCTTACTTGACCAGCCTGCATTTTTGGCTAAATGGTTAATACAACCATCTATAATCTTCCTTTGTATTGCAAGATGCCTGTATTGGAAAACACATTATAAAAATTAAATTGTAGGAAAGGAGCAGGTAAGAGCTACTTACATTTTTCAACCTATTAATAGCAAATATTGGACTATTCAGTCAAGTTCCTTATTACTACAGCCCTGCAAAATTGTCATAAAAATGTGGCAGCCTAGGTAAAGATGTAGTATTTTAATATAAGTAGATATTGTTTAAACGTAAGCTTTATGAAAATTTTGTTGCAGTTTATACTGACAGCAGCAAAAATTCCAATTTGGAATTAGGTCAGCTGAGCTTAACCTATAGCATAAAAATTGACCCTATTAACTACAAATTTTAAGCTTTGCCTGGAGAATGGTAAGAATAAATTTTGGTTTATGAAGCTACTGTTAACCCTGTGGAAGCTTTGATTTTTAATTGTCCTAAACAATAGAACATTTTGAAATAGGCTTTAAAAGATGTTGGGACTTGAGTTTTGATGTGGGCTTTCTGAATAAAGCAATTAAGCACAAGGTATACCTTACGTAATTTCAGGTTTCAGAGTGGCAGCCGTGTTAGTCTGTATCCGCAAAAAGAACAGGAGTACTTGTGGCACCTTAGAGACTAACAAATTTATTAGAGCATAAGCTTTCGTGGGCTACAGCCCACTTCTTCGGATGCATATAGAGTGGAACATATTTTGAGGAGATATATATACACACACATGTATATATTTGCTAATGTAATTTGGATTCCGTGTAACTGTCTTTTCATGTAGTCCAAATCTTGAGTACATTCCTTTAACCTTATTCCATGTTTAGCACACGTTTTAGGGCACTCTGCAATTACTTAACTGTAAACTTCAGGTTTGAGCAGTCAAACATATAGTCATACAAATAACATAAACTGGAGAGAATTCTGACTTACCCTCAGTTGAAAGCCTAAATAATGCACTGTAGTTATTCTGTCTCCTCCTTCTACCCCTGACGTTAAACAGCTGACCAGAAGGTATTTTTTATTGGGTGTGGATAGATGGATTCACTTCTGTTGATCTTGACTGACTTGTGATGAATTCTATTTTTCTTTTCTTAGACACCTGAAGAGTTGGATGACTCTGATTTTGAGACTGAAGACTTTGATGTCAGAAGCAGAACAAGTGTTCAAACTGAAGATGATCAGCTCATTGCTGGGCAAAGTGCAAGAGTAAGGAAAACATTTTAAACATATCTTCTACAAGAAACAGTTTTAACTAGTTCTAAAAATCCAATTTTTAAATCTATCACTTAAGAAGCCTGGTCTGGTTCTATTTCTCTCTTGAAAATGCTAGGTCAGAAAACTGACATTAATCTCTTCCTTTCCACTGCCTTAAAAGGCAGCTAAGAGAAACATTACATTTTAAAAACATCAGTGTCTGCTTTGTTTTGGGCATTCTGAAAGACCAGAATCCTCTTGATATTGGTAAACTACTGTAAACTTTCACATCACAGATCTGAAATAGTTGCTCCCATTTTTTTAGGCATGTGAATTTTTGGCTGGTAAACAAGTCCATCTGTGGCAAATTGATGTTTTGTTTTGTTTTTTCCTGGTTGTTGGAACTGCAGACTAGAAATAGATATTGCCACAAGCTTAGACATTTTCTACAAAAAGCCTTTTAGAAAGTCCACTGGACTTTTAACAAAGGGTCTGCTGAAAGACAGCAGCCTCAAAAAATTATTCAGCCAACTTCTTTTCCTATGACAGTTTAAGAAAAAAAAAAGTGTCCAACACCAGAAATCTTTTGTGGCATCATCCCAAGAGCATAAAACACTATTGACCTAAGGTACAACTGTGGAAATAAATGCAACAGTAAAGGCTGTATTACTTTAATATACCATTTCTATTTTTTCAGCCATTAATTATTCAATATTGTACTTCAGTGCTTTCATTTTAAAGTCACTTAAAACCATACAAGAGCAGTTGGTCCTTGTTTATCAAATTTTTAGCACACTTGGCTTTGGAATCATACTTGCAGGGAGTGTGTTCTTTCCTGTAAAAATTTTCTCCACTTCCCCTCTTCCACTCGCTCCAAACTAAAAAAAAGTTGTCAAGTATCTGTAGTGTACTTTGGGCACAGCCTGATACCAGGTGTCTGTCATTGTTTCATAGAACCATTAGGGTTGTAAGAGACCTCAGGAGGTCATCTAGTCCAACCCCGTGCTCAAAGCAGGACCAACACCAACTAAATCATCCTAGCCAGGGCTTTGTCAAGCTGGGCCTTAAAAACCTCTAAGGATAGAGAGTCCACCACCTCCCTAGGTAACCCATTCCAGTGCTTCACCACAGTCCTAGTGCAATAGTGTCTCCTAATATCCAAGCTAGACATCCCCCACTGCAACTTGAGACCATTGCTTCCTGTTCTGTCATCTGCCACCACTGAATTCCTTTTCTCCTGCTATTGTAATGGAAGCCCTGCTACCCAGCTCTATAGTGTTCCTACTTTTCCTGGAAGAAGGGTAGATTTGAGTTTCTATCTTGCATGTTGAGGGTAAACACAACCTAATAAACCACTTCAGCTATGTGTTGGAAAGCTCACGTTGTAATCTTCGTTCTAAACTCTCTGGAAATACCCATGTGTAGCTTGCAGGATAGATTGATTTAAATCACCAAGTGCAAAGTCTTGATTTAAATAATCAATTTTAACCAACTTTTCGCTTTGTACTTAGTTACTTTCTAAAGAAAGTTGTGCTCTCATTGGTTGATATAACCATGAAAACATGTTCATTTACAACTAAATACAGCCTTTATGTAGACTTGGTACATCTTTTTGCTATCTAGGAGGGTACATTATAATTATACTTTTTATTTAAGCAGTTATGTAGGTTAATATTTTCAGATTCCTAATTGGACATTTTTAGTATTAGAAAATGATGAAGGATATATTGCTTATTTACTAGATACTTAACTCTTTTTTTATGATTTGTGTCCTGCATCAGCATGGTACTGGAATTTAAACAAACACGTAAGATAGCATATAAATCTTTTATTAAACAAAACAACCTTAAATGTTTTGGGTTGTAAACTTCTCTTATCAAAACCTATTTCATGTTTACAACTAAGTGATTTGTTAAAGGAAAAGAAGGGTTAACTGTAGTCAGTGAATTAAACTGATTATTTCAGTTCAGCCTGGGTAAATTTTCAAATATGTGTACGTGAAAGTGACTGGAGCTTAAGTTCCTGCTTGCCTAAGTCTCTTGAAAATGAGACAACAGTCTCCTAAGTTACTTAACCTGTCCTTCAGACTTTTAAAACTAATACACCTCTACCCCGATATAACGCTGTCCTTGGGAGCCAAAAAATCTTACCGCGTTATATCGAACTTGCTTTGATCCGCCAGAGTGCGCAGCCCCGCCCCCCCCAGAGCACTGTTTTACCGCATTATATCCGAATTCGTGTTATATTGGGTCGTGTTATATCAGGGTAGAGGTGTATATCTCATCACCTCCTGCCATGTATTTTATTCATAGTCTGGAAGGGAGAGACAAGTTTTCCTGCTTTTTCAACTTCTAGTTGATTTCTCAACTTCAAATGAATTAGAATATTTTCTTCATTTGGACCTTCTGTGACTGTAGAAGAGGCTACTGCTGTCAAAAGCTGGCCTAGCACTTCAACAGACTGTTCCAGGTACTTAGCTAGTGACTTCCAAAAGTTCAGTGGAGTGACTTTCTCAAAAACAGCAGCAGCAAACATGTACTGCTTGAATGCTTCATCTCCATCCCTGAAATTTATTTTGGTTGGCATGATTGATGGGTGATCATTATATGCACGTCATAGCAGCATCTTCTTATTCAGCATTTAGGCATCTACCCTGGTATGTTGGGTTGAGAATATTGGCAAGAAAATGAAGTGGAGTAAGGTTGTTGAGCCATCTGCTTTACTGTCTGCAATTTAACTTCATTGAGTATTTCTTCAGCATCTCCTTGAAATTTTCCAAGTTTCAACAGCATCAGCAGTACAGCAGCAATTTTTCTGCAATTTGTCCTAGGCTATGGAATTAGTATATTTCAGTATAACGAGCATATCATCTACATTTCTCTTTAATCTGTTGCCTATTTTATCATTTACTAGCATAGTAAGGCCTAGGTAGTCCATAAGAATAGTGCAGAAAGTTTATTAATCAGTGGATCCAGATTGTTCAGACAAGTCCCATGTCATCTTGAGAGACATTGCCTTCTCTGAGAAGCATTTTTCATAATGTTTCATTCTGACAGCCAGGGCTTGCATCTTTGTTTGCACTGTTTGGCCACATGTTCCTTTTTTACACAGAGGTAGAGGCATTTCTTGAAAATATTTCCAAATAGGGTCTCCTTTATGACCTGCAGCCATGGTAATTTTTTCTCCAGTTCTCTGGTGCTGAAATCAACACTAAGTCTGTGCTCTGAAGAATGTTTTCCCTTCTTCCTGCAGTGTCCTGCTTTGACACCAGTGTTTCTCCTTTCTGTTTGCATGCTCTGCTCCTTCTCCCTTGTTCCCTAACTCTCACATGACCCCTATCCTCAGAAAAACAAAATAACAGTCCAAGACTTTTGCTCATGTAACCCACATGCCTTTTGCACTGCAGTATCTTACTTGGTTAGAGATAGATGGAGGCAGTTGAGACGTTAAGGGTTTTCTGTTTGTGTATCTGTGTACACACACAAGGAGAGAGACCAAGGCCATTTACTTGGAAGTGCCCAGAACTATGCAGAAGCAAGGGCTGGTAGTCACGGAGCAGATGGGTGTTTTTCCATGAGTGCAATAGTAAATATATAAATATTCATAACTTCAGAACTGAGCCAATCAGAGCTCAGGTAGGGAGAAGCTATAAAATATGACTGTGAAACCACCCAGGTGGGCTCAGTGGATAATTCTGATGAGATATATGATATCCTCTCCTTGAGTCAGAGGCTGGGTCCCAACACCTCTGATGACTTTGCCAGTCTGTTGCAGCCAGTAGCACAGCCCTTTGGTCCCTCCAAGGATCAAGCCCTTAACACAGCACATGACCTATCTATTTATAGATCTCTATTTCTAGAGCTTGGCCTCCAAAGTTAGCTGTTTTCCTCGATCATTTCTTTATGTAGAAGAGCAGCCTTTAACTCAGAGATCTTTAATAGAGGCTTATGGATTTATTATCTTTTGAACATTTTAGATAAGCTTAGATCAGATTTCATTTTAAACAGGTTTATTTTCATAATGAAAAACTTAAAATAAAATAAAAATCTGATTTTAATTTAAAACAAAAAACCACATTGATTTTTTTATCCACCCTGATAGCTTGTCATTAAAACTATTGTATTTCACACAAAAAGATATTCTGTCCTCATTCATACAACTTTCCTTTGTGAAAAGGGAAGAAAAAATACAGTCGTACGCCTTAAACTTCTTTGAAGGTGTCTAGCAATTTTATTAAACAGACATGATTACAGTTCTTGAAAAATCAGCCCAGCAGCTTTCTGTCCAGGTAGCCCTTATTCTGTAGTGTTAGTAGATAATCATATAGTCGTAAACTTTGGTTCAAGATGAGAAGAAATGGGCCTATCTGCCCTTTAGGTCAAAAGAAGCCTATTAAAGTTTCTCTCTATGTGCATCATTTAGATTGGTTATTAGTGACACTGTTCTAAAAAGTCCTTTTTACAAATAACTGAATAAGGAAATATGGAAAATCACTTTATTTCAGGCTATCATGGCTCAACTCCCTCAAGAGCAAAAAGCTAAAATTGCTGAGCAAGTAGCAAGCTTCCAGGAAGAGAAGAGTAAATTGGATGCTGAAGTGTCAAAATGGGATGACAGCGGTAATGATATTATTGTATTGGCAAAACAAATGTGTATGATTATGATGGAAATGACAGACTTCACCAGGTGAGCCTCTTTCATGTACTTCAACTTGTACAGGTGCTAACTTTCTCAGATGTTCATCTTCTCTCAGTAAAATGCCCTGGCCAATATAACCCTAACTTTTGTAAGTGCAAATATTTGAAATTCCTACATTTTTACAACTTTAGCTTTGAACGTAGCAGTATTGTCGGTGTGTTTTTAATTTAAAAACTTACAAATTGGTATAAATTGACCAGATAATAAATTGGCTTGTCTGTTCACAAATCTGGACTAGGGTCGTTTTCCTGAACATGTTTAAACTTGTCTTGCGGTTTGAAATTTAACAGTAAAGCTTTTATTTAAGCTGATAAGGTTTTTCTCAGGCATTGATTCAACATTCCATAAAAACTAGATAGTCACAAAACATATTTAACTTCTGAAATATACTATTACATATGGTAATATTACATTGCTTGAAACAATAGGTATAAATAGCCTAATAACGTTTTTTTTTCCACAAAACATGGGCCCTTTATCAACTTGACAAAGATTTGTGAACTCATTGGGGAAACTTGACTTACAAATGAGAGAGCTATTGATACACTATAGCATGTGTGATAACTTTCCTGTGAGCTGCTTATTTTTATTATGCATGTCCACCTTACCCACGTGAATACAGTTCAGTTAAGGAGTCGGGAAAACGGAATACGAGAGAGAAGCAACATGCTTGTTTTGGTGCCAAAAAGTAGTATCTGCTTTGTTTTGCAGAGGTAAAGGACCACTAAAAAATACATCAGATGTGATTAGTGCAGCCAAGAAAATTGCAGAGGCTGGGTCAAGGATGGACAAGCTGGGACGGGCTATTGCTGACCATGTAAGTCATAATTTATCTTCATAAGCCTCTATCACAACTGAGTAATTGTTCTGTATGGATCCTTGAGAGGGATTGGCGGCTTAACTACCTATCTAGTTTTCTACAATCGCTTTGTGAATACAGCTCTTCTACCTTGTTTCTCCCAACTGCTTTGCTGCCCCATCAACATAAACCCCTGAACGCATACAGATACTTTTAACAGCTCATTGTTTTAAATCAGGCACCTAGTTTCTTTACATTAGCTGAAAAGAATAGAATTTGGTTTTGTCCTACTCGAGATATCCCTGAGTGCTTCGCAAAGCAACAATGTGACTCTGTAGGCCACACAGTAAAGATCTTCTACCTTTTCATGTTCTCTGTATGTATAAATATCTTCTGTCTGTGTGTTCCACTCTATGCATCTGAAGAAGTGAGCTGCAGCCCACGAAAGCTTATGCTGAAATAAATTCGTTAGTCTCTAAGGTGCCACAAGTACTCCTGTTCTTTTTGCGGATACAGACTAACACGGCTGCTACTTTGAAACAGTAAAGATCATTATGCTCCCAGCAATAGATCAGGCACAGCCTTGATTTTAATCTTCCTGTTTCTGTGGAGATGTTTGAGAGTAGAGTTATCAGTGAGTTATATTTGAAATGCTCCACAGGATCTCTGTCTTCTATATGGATATACAGGAGAGATGGGCAGAATAGGTTTATTGTTTGTTTTATCCAGAGGGCCACCAGTCCCACTAATATTGCACTACAGTGTCAGCAGGGTAGGCAGCTGTTTCCTTATTCTGTACTTGAACTCGCCTGCTTAAAGCCCATTGGCAAGAGGACTATCAATGGAGCTTTGCTTTGTCACTGCAAATGTTAACAGGGTTTAGCTTGATCAGTCATATAATGAACTAAGTGCTCATGTTATCATACAAGGTATTCATACCACAGTGACAATCACAATAAAACAAAAATCTTACTCTATCTGATAACATTTTTGATAAGCACAGACATCTAAGGCTAAAGGAATCTGTGGTGTTCATGATAGTCGATGCTTCTGAGAGGTCCTGAAATACAAGTAGCTTAGGTTTGAGGTTTGTGATTAACCAAGTTTTACTTTCGCACAGCTATAGGTAGTTTGGTCAGTCTCTCTCTCTCTCTCTCTCTCTCTGAATACAAATACACAGCATGTGATTCAAGAATGAGACCTGTTTTTATTTTAAAAAGAATTAACTCCTAAAACCAATGCAGATGTTTTAATTGTTTCATCCAGGTTCCAGAGACAATTGTTATGACTGATATAAATTTATTAGTTTTACTGAATGTTTAATATTAATAAACTGACAGCAGCTCAATGGAATAGCGTGGAAAGGCTGCTTCAAATGGTTCCCCTCTCTTTCCCCCTCCCCCCTTCACATATCAGCAGTGAGTGAAGTCCTGGCATTAAGGTGAAGAATGGGGAGATGCCACCTCTTCAGACAAGCAGGGCAAGATTTCAGAATTAGCTTGCCTTCGGAAATCTACAGTGAACTCTGTTAGCTGAAGTCGTCTATTGCTACAAGTTAAAGTAGTGTTCCACGCACACACTCAGATGATGAAAAGCCATGTGCTCTCACAACAAATAGACAACAAAACTCTTTAAATGCATGTTTTGGATTATTTTGATTGGAAAAGTCTTTCTTTTTAAAAAATTGACAGGTATCATGAGGAGATGGGGAGACAAGCAGGTGGTGATGGTTAGTCATATTGACAAGACTATAACTTTTTTCATACCCTATATTCTTAAGCTTTCAGCTTATATATTTCATTGGGTCTGCTTGCATACTCACAGGCCTTGGCTACACTTGCAGCAGCATATAGGGTATGTGTAACTACATATGGCAGGGAAAGGCTTCAGCAGCGGGAACGCTCTGTTTTTGTCACCTAGGCCATGCCTCTCAGTCTACGCTACTATTATACCCGTGTGTGTGTGTCGTGGCTGTGCTCTACGTGCCACCATAAGTGTGGATGCATCTATAGAAAGAGGTGCAGTAATCTGTTAATGTAGAACTATTTTCAATTACAGAAGACTTGCAATGCAGCCATTTCAATGGAGTGTTAATGCCTTCATATGCCAAGAACAGGAACTGAACTAAGGTGTGCACTGTCATGTTGTGTTAACCACATGGCACTAGGTGAAATGTGCCCCTCATGTTACTGTGTCAGGAAATCCTAACTCCTGCTCTCAAATAGTTTTATAGCTTTTATGGCCTCAAAGGAAATGAGCTATTATCTAAGGTATTTCAAATCAGCTGAAAAGTGTCTAACTTCAGATTTTCCCAAAGGTGTTTCATCTTTCACTCAAAATATCAGGATTTTTTTGAATCGGGGGAAATATTAGTAAGTTGCAAATACCTCAAGAAATTGAAATGATTGCAGCACAATGGAGGTTCTCATAAAATTCATTCTCCTGTCTCTACAAGAACACATACAAATCACTCTGACAAATTTATATTGCTTCCAGTCTTTGATAGTTGTAAGAGGTACATCAATTGTCAATTTGTGAAATCACAGTGAACCAGTAGGGAAAGCTTATGCATTTCCCCAGCTTTCCAATAAAATAATAGCAGCCTCTTCTAGCACCCTTATGTTAGGCAAGATTTTGATTATGCCTAATGCTCACACAGTGTAAGGCTGCTTTTGGGAAAATGTCTTCTGATGCAGGATTAGTGCTTTCTCATTTGACTGCTGCTGCTGTGTGTGGCCAAAATGATTATCCAGTGGCAATAAAAAATTTTCCTCCACTAAATGTCCTCTTACAGGTTTTGTAACTGCATGATGCAAAACTCATGTATTATGCATGTAGTGGAATTTGCTCTCTGGGCCACTGGCACCGTGTCAAGGTTTAACCCACAAAAATTACAATGTTCAGATTCTAAAATGGGGTTGTTATGCTGGAAAGGAAAATGGCTCTGCCTGCCAACTTGAATCTATCAATTGCTTTCTGTTAGTAAGCAAATTCCAATGGAGAGGCCTTGTTTTCTTTAAGAAAGTTTGGTTCCATTTCTTAGGAGATCTTGTAAAAATGTGTTCACATTTTTACTGCGTGGTGTTTTTGTCAGGTGTCAGTCTGTATGATTAGCAATCCTGGGTTTGAGTTTTAACAGCCAAATCTTGTTGTGCTTTTCTAAGTGCCTCAGCAAGTTTTCCAGTTTTGAGCTATTGGAGGCCAACTGATGAATGTGAATGACATTGACTTCCTCTAACAGTCACAGAGATGGTTACCTCCTTGATGGGAGCCATACCACAGCAGATTAATGCTCCATCTAGTCAGAGACAGGATACTGGACAATGGCCAATACAAGATCCTTTTGAGGGAGCTGCAAAAAATGTCATGGGAGTTGAGAATAACTTGCTCATAGTGGCCATTTCTTCCTGACACCCCCCCCCCCCCCAACTCAGTTAATGACTAATTTATGCTGTGAAACATTACTTAATTTTCTTTCTTTCACAAGTTAATTGACTGATAAAGAAGTGTTTATTTTTTAGCAGTTTTAAATGTTGCCTTTTAGTTTAATTAAACATCCTTGTTGCCATAACATGAAGGGGCAGCGATACATTGGGTGCTCCTATTTAATCTTCTTGATACCATTCCTTATCTTGTATACCTTCATCATATTCCCTTTCATTCATCGGACTCTATGAACTAAACAGTCTTGGAACAAACTTCCCATCCCCACCCCCAGATCTGCAATTAGGTTTTAGAAGTAGAATGACCGGAACTGAACACAGTTTTCCAGGTGATGTTTGTATGGTGGAATAACACCATAATACATTACTTTCTATCCCATTCCATATGCAGCTGAACAATATTTTCTTTCTTTACCATTGCACAACATGCAGCAGCCCTCATTCATTGAGCTATCCATAGTGAGGCCAATGTCTATTTCCTTAATTTAGAACTCAATAAAATGCCAAAGTAGTTCAAACTATTCCTTCCAATATGCAATGTGTTGTAGTTGTGAGGCAGGTGAATGCCACCTAGAAGAATCCAGTTCTGTTTCTGCTTCTGTCAGAGACTTCGTATGTGCCACTGGACAAATCACTTAAACCAACCTTTTCACAGGTGACTACTAGTTATGTGTTCCTCATTTTCTTGGTGCCTATCCTGAAAATCAGGCTCAAGGTGTCTTAAAAGCTGCCACTCACAGCTACAACTGAAGTCAGTGGAACCTGTGGCTACTCAGCAGCTCTGAGAGCAAGGCAGTGTAATCTGAAGGAATGTTCAGTGGTAGGAGTCAGGAGGTCCTGATTTCTAGTCTAGGCTCAAGCACTGATTCAGTCTGACACTGGGCAAGTCATTTGGTCTTCCTCTTTCTCCATCTATTGTCTGTTGTTGGCTGCTTGCGTTCTCTCTGCATGCTGCACTGGCTCTGGCCAGATAGCCCATACAGCAGACTTCGATCGAACTGCCCAGGAAGACCATAGACTCTCTTCAATGGCAAAGGCACTTGGCCAGGTTTATTGCCAAAAAAGCACGGTATTAGTGCCCTATACGTGCTACAATCTCAACTTAATACATGTATGCCCATCACAATGAACTTGGCTCAGTGAGTAGCGGGATTTTCCGCTCCCCCCTCAGCCAGAGAAAGACACCCATTCAGTGACCCCTCTTTTATACACTGTTACAAACAAGTTACGTGTTGCCCCTCTGGTGTGGTTAGTTACCACCCTTTACTTTGTACACGTTGGTTTGATCAAAACATCTCTAGCCGTGACCCTGTCATCCTGACCTTATCCTTAGGAAGGGTCAGTGTGTCCTGTATTATGTTAGTGGAGTGAGTTTACACCATAACCTGGTATTGGGGTGTTTTGGCACAATCCTTCTGGAATGTATTTATGTTAATATATCGTGCTTAGGAGTGCTTGTGTTTTTGAAATGCCAGCCCTGTTCTTGCCAAGTTCATGTATCGCATAGTGAACCTGAAAGTAGGCATCTGCCTTGTAACAGGGCCTGACTCTTGCTAATTTTGCTGAATATCAGCAAGGCCTGATTTTTTTGGTCACTTTAATTCAGGCCCCAGACCCCATGCTTCAAGTTCTTTCTACTACAAGTGTGTAGCTGCCTACCTTCCAGGAAGTGGAGGATTAATTGTCTGTACAGTGCTTTATATGTTGAGTGCTATAAAAATGCTAAATGCTCTGGAAGATGCAGGTCTTTAGGTGACTGCAGCCAAACTTGAGTCACTTAGCACCCAGAACTAGTGGAGATACGTGTTGACGTTGGGCTTAATCTTTCTTGGCCTCAGTATACAGATCACTTTAATTTTGGCATTTGATAATTCTTGAGTGCTCAATCCTGCAACCTTAACGTCCTTTCAGTGTATGTAATTGATAAATATGCTAAACTCCGGTATTGGTACTGAACTTTGTGACCCTTTCCTGCTAACCTTTTGCCATGTTGAAAATTGACCATTCTTTCTTTGTTCTGTGTCCCTTTATCTAGTTGCTAACATGACAGGATGTTAATTCTCACCCTGTGACATGGTTTTCTTACCAGCCTCTCTTGAGGGACTTTGTCAAAACTTTTTGAAATTCCAGATTGTCAGTTGGTTATCCTTTATCCACTATTTTCTTGACACACACAAAGATCTCTAATAGGTTAGAGAGAGAGAGACTTTTCTTGGCAGAAGCCATGCGAATTAGCTGTGCTACTGCCACTTTTAAAGATAACTACAATATGTGCTAAACTCCAGTCTTCCTATACACTAGGCGATTGTGCATATACCCTCTTCATCTCAAATGTGCAGAGCTTATTGTGAACTGTGGCTGCCACTCGGATGGGCTCCTCTGTTTTTGATATGGGAATGAGGCTGAGAAACACCAGAGCACTTGACTCTTTAAGGTCATTCAGCATATTATCACCTTGTTCTATCAGGGGACCATGTTCTCCTTCCACAATGCACCACAAGAGCTGAACAAATGGGCTTCTCTATTGCAGTACTGTGCCCAGTAGTCAGTTTATTACACAGCTAAAAAATGTGCATCTATGTGATTTAATGCAATAGCATTTGCTGAAGCACTTTCACACCTTGTCAGGAATGGAGTTACCACATTGATAAGAAGTTTGAGGTAGTCAGGACTACATATCTGTTCTTTTGGAGATACTACATAAGAGGAATTACAGGGGTCATTATTCACTAATGCAAGCATTTCATTTAAAATGGAAGATCAGCATCCGAGGCACAAAGACACTATTCTTAAGAGTTGCAAGTAAGATTTACAAATGCTATCTTGAGATCTTAGGATGCAAAGTGCTGTATCAGTGCTTCACAAATACAGTTTCAGTATCCATGTGGTGTGCAGATACTACCTGTTAACAAAAAAGGCTAGGAAATTTGCCCAAGATCACACAGCAAGGCTAGTGGAAGAGCAGATGAGAACATGAAAGTCCTGTCTCCCAAAGCCAATGTTTGAGAACACATTTTGATTGCACAGTGGATTTACCATCTCTTGCATCCAAAGAAGTGGGTATTCACCCACGAAAGCTCATGCTCCTATACGTCTGTTAGTCTATAAGGTGCCACAGGACTCTTTGCTGCTTTTACAGATCCAGACTAACACAGCTACCCCTCTGATACTTGACATCTCTTGCAAGTCAATGACTTCTCATCCTACAATCTCAACATTTTGCAGATACTAATGTTTAATTACTTCTAAATGCAAATTTTGCTGCTAGTTAATTTAGGCTTAAATAAGGGGTTTGAACTCAAATGCAAGAAATTCTTCAGAATTATCATTTGCCTTACATTACTAGAAATATTGTGTGGAGTTAGTGGTATGTCACAACTGTTGTACAGAGATTACAAATGTGTATTCCATTTTTAATATGGTCACTCATTACCGCACTGTTTCTTTATTCACTTTTTTCATACCATTTGTCAGTGAAAGTAGATGACCGGATGTCTATAAATACATAAATTGAGTGTATTCATCATGATAGATACATAGCTGAACAAGTTAAGCTTCTTTTGGATTTACTGGTGTCAGGGTAGTTAGCTTTAAAAAATAGTATTCCTGCTTTTCAAAATTCTGAAATAACAATTTTCTATTTTCAGTGCCCAGATTCTGCCTGCAAACAAGACCTTCTAGCCTATCTACAGCGTATTGCTTTATACTGCCATCAGTTGAACATCTGTAGCAAAGTTAAGGCAGAAGTTCAAAACCTTGGAGGAGAACTGGTGGTCTCTGGGGTATGTAAGATCTGATATTTCCATTTCATGTTTTTCTTTCTAGGTTGAACAGTTTTCCCAGTTTAAGCTTTTGTGTTAAAGGCTTATAGATAAAATGAACGGTACATGGATTTATGTCCAAACTTTAAACCCTTGCAAATATTATAACTGCCTCTACTTGAAGGCAGAATCAGCATCTTAATGATCTTCAAACTAGTTTTCAGCTTTCATTACTAGCCAATAACCCTCAGCAAGACGTTTCACTATAAATTTGTAATGTTCTACCACTTTTTCCACAGGCTATTGATTTTACATACAGTGGGATTAAATCATGTTAATCAGCATAATTTTATGTATATTTCTTAATCTACCCCATGTTTTCATAGAGACTTTGAACAGGGTGACCTTGTAATTATCTAGGGGTATTTATTTCAAAATAACTATGCCCTGAAGTTAAACTTTTTTAGTTGCTCCACTATTTGATGACAGCTGAAAGCTGCTGTAAGGCCAACCTCATTCCTTACTCTGGACATCAATTTAGCAAATGCATTCTTGTCTTCATTGTACTTCAGATTTTTTTCTCATTGAGAAGAATCTGCATGCTGTAGATTACATAGGAGAGAAACGGCTACATTTATTAAATCTTTTGCCACGCTCTAACTTGTTTATAATAGTCACTTATGTTCTAATTGGGTGAAATCAGCAATGATGCTGGGGAGTTAATACAGGATTTAGTCTATGGAGGGACAAAAGGGATTGGTAACTCAGTACTAACAGTTGAGTCATTAGAAGTCAATTTAAAATCTGATCTTTCCTAAGGTGTTTCATATACTAGAAACCTTTGTACAGTTTCTCATTTGTGCAAGTATCTTGTACAATTTCTCACTTTACTGCTTTTTGCACGTACAAGTGGCTGCTGTAAGGAATATAGGAATAGTGAGTGCTGCATAATAGCTGAGAAAAATGGGAAACAAAATGTAATTGAAACAGTTCTGGCAACGTAACAAACTTTTACATAATGTTAGCACCTTCATGCCAGAGAGATTTCTCTGCCACCCTCTCACTACTGGCAGCAGGACATGCTCAAACTGCCAGAAGTGAGGAACTGAGCGATAAGATGCAGCAGAACATGTGTTGCTATGCATCTGTGATGCATGGCTGTTATCTGTGAGGCTGAAGGCATTGTGGTGTCAAAATACTAGATATGTTGTTATACAAGAATGTGCTCTAGGGTTTTACTGTGATTATAAAATTCCTTTTTAATTTACATATCCTTCAGACATAAATCAGTCCATATCAGTAGGCTAGTATCTTTACTACAGTCCCCTTATTTTTATCTCTTTTCATTGAATAAGAACATGGCTAAATCTTCCCAACACTTTTTGGCCTCTAGCACATTATTGGATGAAAATCTGTGCTGTAAAAGATAGTCCACTGCTTCCCATTGAATTGGGCACTCTTAGGGTTACCATATGTCCGGTTTTTCCCGGACATGTCCGGCTTTTCGGCAATCAAACCCCCGTCCGGGGGGAATTGCCGAAAAGCCGAACATGTCCGGGAAAATGCCGGCCGGGCACTTCCCCTCCCGCGGCTGCTCTGCTCCTCCCCCGACTCTTCGGCTCTGTTTAAGCGCTATGGGCTTCAGGCAGCCCCCTTGCCTCCGGACCCCAGCCACCAGCCGGGCACTTCCCCTCCCGGGCTCCGGCGGCGCAGCGTCCGGAGGCATGGGGGGCTGCCCGAAGCCAGTAGCGCTTTGAAAGAGACTTAACCAGAAGCCTCCCCGACTCTTCGGCTCTGTTTAAGAGCCGAGCGCTACGGGCTTTGGGCAGCCCCCATGCCTCCGGACCCCGAGCCACCGGCCAGGCACTTCCCTTCCCGGGCTCCAGCTGCGCTGGGGAAGCGCCAGCCGGAGACGCAGGGTCTGGGGGCT